CGTTTTGCCCCACCCTCCCCTAGTAACACTGTTGTTGCATCTACATACTCATAATTTCCACAATTTTCAAATTAGTAAATTTTGCCCTTCCAGGACCGCCATTTTCATCCGAATATAAAGGAAAATTAAAGTATGCATTAAAGTAGCTCTACCCTTCGGCCGGGCTACGCTGTACTTTTGGATATTTTCAGTTTTTAAATTTTTCAACTAAATTAAATGGAAAAAATTTGAAAAAATTCATACCCAGTCAGTATTATCTAAATTAAATTTCGCAAAATATTGATATTTTTTCAAACATTTCCCTTTTATAAATAAATAATAAAATTTCTTTGCAAAGCCGTGGATTATTTTTTCTGAGGTGTCAAAAAATTCTTAATTTTTTCACATCTAATGAAAAAAAATTCAGATTTTAATCTTTGATTACAATGGAAATGTTGATTTTCACATAAGACACTGGGTTAAATCCTGATTTTTAAACATTTTTTCTTTGAAAAACCAAAATGATAATGAAATTGAGAAAAAAATTAGAATTCCGAATCTAATCGAGTTTTCTGCATTTTTTTGCAGCTTTCAATAATCTTTGAATTTACCGTAAGGGTAGAGCTACTTAACTTAACCCCTCAAGTACGGCGCCCATATCGCGTTGTGTGTCGTCATCGACTGGTGGCCACAGTTAAAACGAATGTCCCAATTTCACACACCTTTTGTAGCCATTTTTCAAACACTAAAAAACGTCTAAATAAAATGAAAATTTGTCTGAATTTCAAATATGAATTAAAATGTTTGGGCACCTGTTGGTCTGAAATTGAGACACATTTTCATTTTATTCAGATGCATTCTAGTATCTGAAAAATGTCTTCAAAAGATGTGTGAAATTCAGACATTCGTTTTTGCTGTGGGCCTCCCATCTACTCGAATTCGCTGTCAATACGCGGCAATTTCTACAGTGATAATCAAAAATTATCTAAAATTTAATGATAATCTTGAGCTTTCAACAATAAGTTGTTCAATTACGGTACTCCAATATAAAGAATGGGTACATTTAATTAATAAATAACTGTTTATTAAAAATTTTGGGGTAAAAAAGAGATACAAAGAGGAATGACGCATCCGCGGACTAGAAACGAAGATAAAAGTATATCGAAAAAGAAAGAGAGGATCGTACATGAAATTGGTTAAGAGGGAGGAAAAACAATACTGATTTTTCTAGAATTTTTAAGACTAATTTCAGTTCGATAGTACAAACGGTTGCCAAGATCGGCGATTGTCGGAAATTTATTAATAACAAATCAGTAATTAAATGAATCAAAATTTCATTTGCACCATTCGACAAAGGAATGTGTAGAGTATGTTCCGTAAAAATTTCAGAATGTTTGGTGAAAATTAGCTCGATAAACTAGGTTTGAATATGCATCTGATATCGAATTCAGTTCCGTATTGTTTATGTATTGAAGAAAAATATTAAAAATAACTTTAAAAAAAAGTCGAGTCACATTGTGTTGATAATTTCATCAGTTTCATGGAGAAATTTTTAGAATTTCGATATGTGCAATAGTACGAAAAATAATTAATTTTTATTAATCACGGAAAGGGTCCATATGGACACCGTACTTGAGGAATTAAAGTATTGATTAAAGTAGTTTTTCTACTTGATTCAAGTGGAATGACTATGATTCAATCTACATTCTTGAATATTTTGCTCTAACGGAAAACAAAATCGGTATTGTACATAATTTCCACCGAACTTTTTTCTATATTAAGATACTTCCTCAGTCGTTTATGGGAACAGTCGACAATGTACAGAACATGTCAATTTTTGAGGAAAAATTCTGAAAATAGCCAGAAATATGTCGCAAGGAGTCCGAACCCAATTGACTGCTCAGTTTTTCTTTAAAAAATGATTAAAAATATCATTTGTACAGCGTCTTATGAGAGTCGTTTTTCAACTATTCAGTATGAGCATCGACAATATAAAAGCAATGCAAATACCCGATTTTCACCATCGAACGCATTCCAAGAATACATCTTTGCAATTTCATAATTTATTACTGCACAGATTTTGAGAAATAATTGAAAATGTACCAGAGGATCATGAATTTTCGCTAAACCAGGGGAAAATGGCGGTGTAACTTGACAACGATGAGAGAATGTTAGAATGACCAGGGTTAGCTCGACTGTAGGTCCAATAGTAAATGGAAGCAAAGCTACTATAGTGTAATATAGGTTCATATCAAAGTACAGTAGCACCAACTTCGTCTAACGAAATAGTATATCTCGTAACGAGTGCAAAAAAGTGTTTTTTCACGAGTTACGAACAATATTTTTCATCACAATGTGGGGGAAATTGCACTTTTAGGCACGTGGAGCGTGCCGAAAAGTTCACTTTTCGTCACAGCGTGATGAAAACGCCTTGTTGCCGGATCTCTGACGATAGTTTCCATTTATTATTAAAATCATTTTTAAAAAATTTAAGGATAAAAAACTCATCGGTTAATTAATTATAAGTAATAAATAAAAAGAAATCCGATAAGCGAAATTTCCATTCACTCTTGAATCTTTAAAATTTTCATATTTTTTCTTTCGAACGATGCAGCGGAGTGTTGGCGCCTCTGATGTGTACCCCCACTCTATACCCCTAAATTATCCTGAGGAAGTACCTTAAATGAATAATCCTTCAAACCAGCGTCCACAAACTCTAAAACATCCAGAACTCAAGGCTCAAGACAGTCAATAATCATAAAGAAAATAACGAAATAGACCTCGAATTGGGCCAACCCACCGCAGAGTTTAAATCGTAACGGAAATTCTTGTACCTATGAATAAAACTCCCGTTCGAATGCAAAACCTGACTTGACTGAAAATCCATATACGTTTTTTGCATGAACCTATTCAGTGATGTGGAATTATCGACGGGTAGATTTCGCTCGTGATCATTCACCGAAAGAGCTACGCATCATTGGTCTTACAGGGGTCTGTTTGCCTCTTCGAGGGGGCATTCCCGATAAAATTCTCCCCCAAGAATTCTCAATAGCTGAAGCCAACGGAAATGCGCTCTGAATCTTAACCGAAAAATTGGTACAGGTGGAGGCGTTTGAACCCATCCATATCAGGAATTGATACTTCTATTAGTGAAGTGAATATGTGGAACGCTCAATAGACTGCTCAGAGAGAAAATGTTTCAAGTTTCAGGCATGTGTCCGTAATTTTTCACAATTCATTTCTAAATTTTATAAATTTGTCTCTAACGTTTAGAGTAATTCTTTAAAACGCACATTTTTGCCTCACAAAATATTTGTTTTGTTTCTTATAATGCATTTGAGTAATTCGATCACTGAAATTTAGATAAAAAATTTGCGAAATTAAATAATAATTGGATTATTTATTATTGATTAATTAATTAAATTTTTTCTCTGATACTTAGGATTATGATAAAAAAAATTCTCTCTGAATAAAGTCACACAATTTTTCTCACACAAAAAAAACCTAAACGTAATTTACGTTGAAGAAGTCGTCTTTTATGCTTTCTGAAGAATATTTTGCCATTTCATATTTGTAAATTACGCTCAAAATCGTCGTAATCTACGGCTGCATAAATTTAATTTGCAATTTCGTATTCGTAAATTACAATGATTTTTTTCCGTATTTTACGGTTACTTATCCACAATAAACGACGAAGAAAAAAAAGTTATTTTTAGTTTAAAATGCAATGTTTTTCTTGTCAATTACGCGTAAGTAAATCGTAAAATACGTTTCAATTAAGATAGTAATTTACGATTTCTCAAGTGTGAAATACGCTTAGTGAAACGTAAAAGACGCTTTATTCGAGCGTAATTTACTTTTTTATTTTGACAGTAAAATACGCGTTTTTTAAAGCTCTTATTCCAATTTTCAGGACGGAAAAAGCCACAAGTCCTCATATTGGCGTTAAGGGAATACGTTGGTGAAATTTAAAAGCCTTCACTGGGCCTTGGGACCCATTGAACAGGTTGTGATATATGACGAAATATGGGAATAACTAGAGAAAATCGCGGACCCGATCGATTTTGCCTCGTATAACCACGAAAACCATCATTTTTTCCTGTTTCTACCTTCAAAATGCTCCTTCTACCGTAGTTTTCATACGATTTTAGATTTTTTTTGTAATGTTCGTTATACTCCAAAGAATAAAGTTAAGCATCTGTTCTACTTTATTCGTAATAGATCATGAATAAATGAATTTTGAATTTTATAAAATTTTCGCGTCTCTAAAATAGAGTAAAATTCAGTACCAAAATGGTAAAACGGGTTGATCAACTTATCTCCCAATTGAGTAATTGAGGAGTATTTCCGAGTGTAAGGGAAATAGCGAAATTTCCGTAATTATATTTGTTGTAGCTCTTAATCGGCTCTACAAAAAAGGTTATAACAAAAATTTTGCTATCTCCATTGGAATCCGAGATATTTATTGAAAACTGGTCAATAGTCAAAATTGACTTGTATCGTTTTACCACTTCGCTACTGAATTTATGAAATTCAAAATTTATTTATTGAAAATTCAAGATTTATTCATTCATAATCTATTCCGAATAAAGTAGAACGGATGCTTAACTTTTCTAAAAACAGGAGAAAATGAAAATCGATCGGGATCGGGACCGTCATATATCACGAACTGTTCAATGGGTCCCAAGGCCCAGTGAAGACTTTTAAATTTCACCGACGTATCCCCTTAAACGTAAATGACGTTTAGCAAAACGTAATTTACGCTAGGTTTTTTTGTGTACGGATTATAATTCGATCATTTCAGAAAAATGGTGAAATTAGTAAAAGGTGGGGCATAATGGGCTGTCTTTAGTTCAATCGAGTGAACATCTCGTAAGTTCAAGAGGTATTGAGACAACAATATCATCTGTTTTGCCCCGGGGGAGGTGGAGTGAGGCTCCTTATCTCTGTCAAAAGATGCTCATAAATATATTCATGAAAAATTCTTACATGAAAAAAACATGTGTAATAATTCAACTCACGGAATTAATGGCCGTCATACTGCCAAGTCGACCAAAATCGGTATCCACTAGCCCGCTGTCACTCTGCAACAATTAAGAGATAAAAAATATTACAATGTTGTTCCAAATCCAGTAGTCAGAACATTTGCGTATCGATGTGGTCTGTACCAACAAATTGTTGAGCAGAAATGCGTCGATGGTACTCGACCCAGCATATTTCAAGCTTTAAAAGGCCACGACCCAGTTATTGCGATGAAAAGAACCCCTTCAACGCAAACGTTGCGAAAAATATCCCATCAAAGGACTCTCATCCCAAGCAATGTGTTTTCTTCTTTCATTTCGGAAATAGTAAGAAAGAAGTGAACATGCTTTTTGCGGTCTCCACGTTTGAATATTCTGATAGTGAGGAAGGAATTTGATGGGTAAGGAGCGTTCACTTCATGAGTGAATGGATTTATCAAACTTTTAATTAAATAATATTCCGAGAAGAAACTCGATTTTCAAAACTTTTGCTGATGACTCAGCTTACTGGAAAAAAATGTCGGGTTTCCAGGAGAATAAACTGTTAATTTTAGGATGTCAGGTTGATAAAATGTAACAAATAAAGAAATCTATAAGCAAAGTGGGACATTTCATATTCTGAAAAACAGTGTCTTTCTTTTTCCTAGAAATAAGAAACTTTCTGCTTCTGCATATTAAATTCCAAGGTGACAGTTTTTTCTTCAGAGTGAAACACATTTTCCGAGAAGGAGAATTAAAGTATCAAACCTGATATCAATTTTATTTTCCAATATATAAACTTCCAACCGAAGACTTCATCATCATCAACTCACAATTATCTATTCGATTGTCAGAATGTAACGACGATGTTCACCATATTCATAATAACTAAAATCTGCTACCGAGTAAAAACTTTTTTATAATTATGCGATTCTAAAGAATTATTCTTTTGAAATTGACGCAATTTCTATTACTCAATGTTAAAGACGTTAAAAAAATCGGAAATTTTTAATAAAAAATATCTATCAGAGTTTTTCTTTGGAATGAAGTAAAAAGTTGTTTATTCGGAGAAGAACGAAAGTAAAAAGATTTCCTTGGATGAAGGTTTCGTTTTCTAGAAATAATAAACGTCCTCCCTCTCCATATTAAATTTCAAGATGAGAGCTTTTTCTCGAAACTGAAACGTGAAACAGAATCAAGGTATTAAATACTTAATTCTCACTTTGTCTGTTACAATCTAGAATTCTATGGAGATATTTTCCTATATAAACTTCCAACTGAAGACTTCATCATCATTAAATTACAATTATCTATTCTCTTTTCAGAATGTATCGCCGTTGTTCATGCTATTCATAATAATTAAAATATTTTCCTGAATGATACCCTTACTCTTAATTACTGAATTTTTAAGAATTTGTCCTTTGAATTAAGCAAATTACTATTAGGCAATGTTAAAGATGTCAAAGAAATCTGCGAAAATACTTCGGATAAGATTTTTAGTAAAATCTATTAAAAATTTTCTTGGGAATAAGGTGGAAATCTCTTACTCGGAGAAGAACGAAAGTAAAAAGACTTCCTTGGATGAAGGTTTCGTTTTCTAGAAATAATGAACTTCCTCCTTGTGCATATTAAATTTCAAGATGAGAGCTTTTTCTCCCAACTGAAGCGTGAAGCAGAATCGGGATATTTTCCTATATAAACTGCTAGGGGAAGACTTCATTATCATTAAATCGCAATTATCTATTTCCTTTCCAGAATGTGCCGACATTGTTCATCATATTGCTAATAAGTAAAATCTTTTCCTGAGTGAAATGCTTATTTAATTCCTGAATTTTCCAGAATTTATCCTTTGAATTGAGCAAATTCCTATTACTCAATGCTGATGATCTGGAAAAATACTTCAGAAGGGATTTTTAGTAAAAGATATCTGTCAAGGATTTTCTTTGAAATGAAGTGGACCATTTCTTTTTCGGAGAAGAACGAAAATAAAGACTTTCTTGGATAAAGGTTTCGTTTTCTAGAAATAATAAACTTCCTCCCTCTGCATATTAAATTCCAAGATGGGAGCTTTTTCTCGAAACTGAAACGTGAAACAGAATCAAGGTATTAAATACTTAATTCTCACTTTGTCTGTTACAATCTAGAATTCTATGGAGATATTTTCCTATATAAACTTCCAACTGAAGACTTCATCATCATTAAATTACAATTATCTATTCTCTTTTCAGAATGTATCGCCGTTGTTCATGCTATTCATAATAATTAAAATATTTTCCTGAATGATACCCTTACTCTTAATTACTGAATTTTTAAGAATTTGTCCTTTGAATTAAGCAAATTACTATTAGTCAATGTTAAAGATGTCAAAGAAATCTGCGAAAATACTTCGGATAAGATTTTTAGTAAAATCTATTAAAAATTTTCTTGGGAATAAGGTGGAAATCTCTTACTCGGAGAAGAACGAAAGTAAAAAGACTTCCTTGGATGAAGGTTTCGTTTTCTAGAAATAATGAACTTCCTCCTTGTGCATATTAAATTTCAAGATGAGAGCTTTTTCTCCCAACTGAAGCGTGAAGCAGAATCGGGATATTTTCCTATATAAACTGCTAGGGGAAGACTTCATTATCATTAAATCGCAATTATCTATTTCCTTTCCAGAATGTGCCGACATTGTTCATCATAGTGCTAATAAGTAAAATCTTTTCCTGAGTGAAATGCTTATTTAATTCCTGAATTTTCCAGAATTTATCCTTTGAATTGAGCAAATTCCTATTACTCAATGCTGATGATCTGGAAAAATACTTCAGAAGGGATTTTTAGTAAAAGATATCTGTCAAGGATTTTCTTTGAAATGAAGTGGACCATTTCTTTTTCGGAGAAGAACGAAAATAAAGACTTTCTTGGATAAAGGTTTCGTTTTCTAGAAATAATAAACTTCCTCCCTCTGCATATTAAATTCCAAGATGGGAGCTTTTTCTCGAAACTGAAACGTGAAACAGAATCAAGGTATTAACTACTTAATTCTCACTTTGTCTGTTACAATCTAGAATTCTATGGAGATATTTTCCTATATAAACTTCCAACTGAAGACTTCATCATCATTAAATTACAATTATCTATTCTCTTTTCAGAATGTATCGCCGTTGTTCATGCTATTCATAATAATTAAAATATTTTCCTGAATGATACCCTTACTCTTAATTACTGAATTTTTAAGAATTTGTCCTTTGAATTAAGCAAATTACTATTAGTCAATGTTAAAGATGTCAAAGAAATCTGCGAAAATACTTCGGATAAGATTTTTAGAAAAATCTATTAAAAATTTTCTTGGGAATAAGGTGGAAATCTCTTACTCGGAGAAGAACGAAAGTAAAAAGACTTCCTTGGATGAAGGTTTCGTTTTCTAGAAATAATGAACTTCCTCCTTGTGCATATTAAATTTCAAGATGAGAGCTTTTTCTCCCAACTGAAGCGTGAAGCAGAATCGGGATATTTTCCTATATAAACTGCTAGGGGAAGACTTCATTATCATTAAATCGCAATTATCTATTTCCTTTCCAGAATGTGCCGACATTGTTCATCATATTGCTAATAAGTAAAATCTTTTCCTGAGTGAAATGCTTATTTAATTCCTGAATTTTCCAGAATTTATCCTTTGAATTGAGCAAATTCCTATTACTCAATGCTGATGATCTGGAAAAATACTTCAGAAGGGATTTTTAGTAAAAGATATCTGTCAAGGATTTTCTTTGAAATGAAGTGGACCATTTCTTTTTCGGAGAAGAACGAAAATAAAGACTTTCTTGGATAAAGGTTTCGTTTTCTAGAAATAATAAACTTCCTCCCTCTGCATATTACATTCCAAGATGGGAGCTTTTTCTCGAAACTGAAACATGAAGCAGAAGCGAGGCATTAAATGCTTAATTTTCCCTTTGTCTGTTAGGACCCAGAATTGTAGGGAGATATTTTCCTATATAAATTTCCAACAGCGGACTTCATCATCATTAAATTACAATTATCTATTCCCTTTTCAGAATGTACCGACATTGTTCATCCTATTCATGATAACTAAAATCTTTTCTTTAGTGAAACCGTTTTGAAGCAGCATCGAGTTAATCCGTTTACCGTTCCGGGCTGCATTCCGAATCCATGAGTTTCATTTATATTTTGAAATAACAATCTCCCAATTAGTGTAACAAGCGCGCAACAAAACAAGTTCCCGGAATATCCACGCTGTATCGAACTTCATTTTGCCCCAAGGCCTCCACTGAATCCACTAGGCATTGTACCGAGCAATGTTCATTTAGGGAGTTTGCAATGCGTTAATTTTCAGGTTTTGTTTACATGAATATTAGTTTTGAATAAAGCGTAGAAAGCTTCCATTGCGAGTTGAAAATTACTTTCAGTGATTTTGATCTCCACTTTATGAATTCATAATTGCAATTATGAAATTAGTCAGAATGGAATAGATGAATTCTGTATGAATTGGACTCGTATTTTTGTTTTATTTTTCGGAATAGCATCACTAAACTAATAATTGCGAATGCGAGAGTAAAAGTATTGTGACGTTCATGCAAATAATTAAGTGGATTAATTAATTTAGTTGAATTTTGAAGAAGCAAAATTTTACAGCAATGTAAAAATTTTAGTTTTTAGAGAGCAATCTGGAAATCAAGGGATTTTTTCGAAAATGTTCCAGTGCATAATGTTGGATCTCCGACATTTTGTATTTAAATTTCACTAAGTTAATTAGTGTATAAAAATTGGGAATAAATTCCGAAAATCCAAAACTTTTTTAATTCAGAGGTGGAATCATGGGATTTTCGACACAGTAGAAACTACACTATCTCACGGTTAAATATCGCGAGGTTTCAATTAAAATTTAATCTTCATCAGACTCCAGAAATTAATTACAAGAATTCATCCGTTTAAAAATATCAACATAAACCGAAAATTACATCGCGCCACTTAAAAGAATTAGTTCTAACAATTCAAACTTTTCAAAACACTTTCAGGATTATGAAAGAATACCTTGACATCGATAGTGTTTTGTCACTGTTAAAACTATTTTTTGTAGTGTAAAT